GTGGTGGTGAGAAGTGAGGCTGCTTGTCTCGGTCGGTTTCTTGGAATGGCCACAGAGGCTCTGGTTGGTATTGTGATCTTGATCCGTAGGCGGTTATGTCTTCTTGAGGTGGGCTAAAAGAGGGTTGCTTGGCCCGGTCTTCCAGCTCCCAGCTGTGTTGTGCCTCCGGTACTCCCATGTCTCAAATGACACCACGGCTTGGCAGCGTTAGTCGGCGTTTGAAGCTTTCTGAAGACATGCAAAGACTCACGCCAAGGTGCGTGAAGCACAGTCGGACAAGAAGCATAGGTTGGCCTTCATATTTCGATCATGATGATGATGCCCCCCTGAGTACGCCCACAAGGCCAGATTTAATCTTCAAGCTTGCAAAGAAGGTTGATCAAATGAACCGAGATTGGATTCTCCATTTAGATCGCCTCCCACATGAGAACATATCCAGCCTTAAACCCTACGAACGGACGGGCAACCCAATTAGGGAACACCATGGCGCTGCTCGTATTCACAGTATCCACAGTCGCCCTGGGGCACTGACTCGGAAATTTCCATCCACAAGGTTGACTAGCCGATGATCCGTCAGATATACGGATGGAAGCGTCTGGGCTAACATGACGATCCACAACACGGAGAAACGATCGCCGTGCTCGTTTCTCCGGCTTTTTCAGCGGAGCTCTCGTCTTATTTTGATGTTCACCTCGGTGAAGCCATGATGCCCATCCTGACCGAGCTGACTCAGCGTCGAGCGTACTTGTGGATAATTACGTCGCTACGTCTTTTTCAAAAAGCCGATAGAAAAAGTAACCTCAAGACCGACTGATATTATTCATCTCCTAGACGTTGGATTCATAACAGCAAGTTTGTAGTAAGCCAACTTACATTAAATCATTACTCTTGATCGGTTGCCGTAACAAAGTTTTACAGAATCGTAAAATATTATATGATTAAACGGTAAGTAAGGTAATTGTTCAACCCTGAAAAGTCCACTACTTCGTCTTCTCAATCAACTTTCCCTCGAACCAAGCCGCAAACTTAACAGCGTTGACATCCACATATCTCTGCACGAAATCCGCCACGCAGACGACACCTGGTAAGTAAAGACACGTTGAAAGAAAGACGACAAATCCCCAGCTAGTGCTAAGGTTGGCCTCAAGAGGAATGCCAGTAATAGCACTAAAGAACTGAATGCAGTGATAGCCCCAAAGCCAAATCAGGCAGTTGTGAACGAGGTAGATAGCGAACGATATCCGGCCGAGGTATTGGATTACCCGACCCGTGAAAATCGGCTGAATGAATTGTGACTGGTCAATAGTGGAAACCAGCCAAACAGCGGCGACGGGGATCCAGAAGCCATCGCCTTCGCCGTATCGTGTAGGGGTCAGCCAGGAAATGGTTCTGAATCCTGGGGTTTGCGCCACACTTCCGCTCCCCTCGGGGAACGACAGGACCCATAGGGCGCCGATGAAAGAGGCTAACTGGAGAGTCTTCTTGGAGATACAGTAGGTTTTTGAAGATTTGATGAACGAAATGGGGGCACTGAACCCCCTCAGCCCCTCACGTCGCCAGTACGAAGGGCTCGATAGGTGCGGTAGAGTTTCCCAGTCGTAGCCATTGCTCTCGTAGTCGGCATCCTCATCGTCGCCGTAGAATCTAAGGGCGGCGAGGAGTAGGCCGAATAAGAAAAGAAAGAACTGCCAGTAGCCGGAGTGAATGGTGTAGACGAGAAGACACACAAGGAAAAAAATTCGAACGCTAGGGCGAACTCGGTAAAAGGCGACATGTGCCAAGAAGACAATGAGTGAACCGTCAAACTCCACGGGGATAGTCCAAAGTTGCGGCTGGTATGGAAACGTTCTTCCTCTGTCAAGGTTCTTGGCCATTGGGTCGGACAAAATTGAGAAGTGCCCCCACCATCCGACTACTTGGTCCCATACATTGTCGAGTGCTGGTGGCCTGAACATGGTGATAAGTGGACCAGGTATAGGCTCAAGCTCAAACAGTTTGAAGTAGGCTAGGCCAGCGACGGCGAGTGATGTGATCATTGTCGGTAGGAAGAGGCGGATATACCGACGAAAAGCAGAGGAAGCGGTGGCGATTGCAAACTCGGCCGACTTCTTTTGCCTGATGAGCTTCATGGGCTTGTAGCTCAGGGCATAACCGGATATGACGAAGAAGACGCAGACATTCGACAGTCCTGAAACGGCCAAGCGAAGGATCGGGATCTGAAGAAAGATAGGGGTGTCATCGCTCATGAAGCCGCGGCGGAACTCGCCGGTCAGCGTGCAGAGGGACCAGTGGTGGCAGACGACGAAAAAGGCTGCGAGTCCTCGAAGCCCATCTTTATCTTCAGTTAGCTACAGAAACTCAGGCTGTGCTGGAGGTGGATTAACTTACCGAGCCAAGCTGATGGGTGAAGGGGCTTGGGTGTCGCATCAGGGTCCACTGGATGCAAAAAACTCGGAATCAAGGCCAAGACAAGGTTCTTGGAATATCTCAGCCAAGGCGGCAAAGGACGAGGTGCGACGATGGTGTCTGCGACAGAGATATCATCCTCTACTTCGAGAGTTTCAATACGGAAGCTCTCAACCTTGTCTTCCTGACAGATACGAGCGTACTCCAAGTCGTCCAAAGAAGAAGAGAAAGATGCCTGCGAGGAGGACGAAGGAGAGGAAGGCTGAGACTTCAGCAAGCTGGACTCCAGGTCTCCGGGCATGGTGTCGTCGGCGGTGCCCTCCAAGCAGGCAGTGCTGCTGATTGTCCAAGTGGTGATATTGAACAATGTCGAGGAGGTGAAGCACCAAGAGTCCTGCATGCGGCTTGAGAAGAAAATGCAGCGACGTTTTATGGAGAATGATTGGCGATGTTGAGAGCCGGAAAGTTCGCCCCCTTTCTCGTCCGTTCCTCCCGCATGCCAGAATGTCTCATGGGATGGAATCTTCGGTAAGGAAATCCCTTGGGGGCTCATAGGCGACCATCGGGGGCCCTATCGAGAGTCGAAATGTCCATCGCCCTTTCGACTAGCCAGCACTATGACATGCGCCCAAGGTAGGAATGTTTATTATCACCTTGTGCTTGGCGAATGAGCAGTCGGGAGGCGGTGTTTTTGGAGACAGCTCTTTGTTCACAGTGCAGCCATCGAGAGGCTTTGGTGTTCTGGATCGAGCACAAAAGTCTAAAGCAGCCTGTGCAAACTTGAGCTGAACAGCCGTCAAGCTCTAGGCACGTATTTTCCTCCTGCTTCTGATCTCTCGGCTGACACTACTTTAGCTAGACAGAACTCCCGAATGCTTCATGGAACGCAAGCAGCAAGCTCGAAGCCCAACTCGTTGGCTCGTTCTAAAATTCCTTCTATTGTTGAAATACCAATGAGACCCATACGCCTTTCCCGCACTAACTAGGAGGGTCTGTCGACGTCGTTACGTCGCTAAAGATCAAGATGTCATTTCAGCGCTCTGAATGGGCCTTCATTGATAAGAAGAGTTTTGATCGTAAGCTTTGAGACACCACTGTCGTTGATAGGGATACTGGAGCCCCTAGTGAGTTGTTCTTGTTGCACCAGTCAAAAGATCAGCAGGGCAAGGGAGTCAGTCGACTGGACCCTGAAGGCCGCATTTCGAGGAAATGATACTTCGCCTTGTGTAACCCCAAATAAGACCATAAATGGCCCCTTCCTTTCTCTTTGATATGAGCATGCATTTTTAAGGTATGTACAGGTACTCACCTTTTGTTTACGCTAAGTAATCACTACTTACGATCTTCAGTCTGGCTCTTCATTTGAGCGTGAAGTGAAGGACAGTCCGAGCCAATATGTGACCTGTAGCATGATTATATAAATGATTACTTTACTCAGCATACAGTGACCGAAATTGCCATCACACAAACCCCTCCGGTCCATGACAGATCACTCACAGTCTTAAATATACAATGCAAAACGTTGTGCTGCCTTGGTCATCAACCTGAGATGGGTACCGGTTGGTTTGCCGAGAAGTGAGCACAAGTAGAGGGATATCGAACTACTTTGAAACACATCCTTTCTGTCGGTTACACGACATTCTTCTTTCGCGCCCTGAAATTCGTCTAGATGTCAATGCTGACTGGAGGTTGGAGAGATGGGCAATGACTGTGTCTCGCACTAAACTAGCGCAATGAGCGGGCCGAGGTCAGGTCCCGTCAGGTGGTGCCCCCCGGGCAAGACGAGTCTCGGCCAGGAAGCAAGTAAACCGAATCCGCGTTCCGGCATGATTTTTCGGCAAGCTTGGCGAGGGGAGGAGAGGGCAGTCAACCGGTCAATGACTGGTATGATGGGAAATGAGGCCGCATGCCAGTGATCTCGAAATGGCATGCTGTACCGTTACACAAGGCTGATGACATCATGTATTGCCGAAGGAGTTGACGTGATAGTGGTCCATGGCTAGGAGGAGCTGGGTCCTGTGAATCTTAGACTGTAAATGTGGCAAGCAAGAAAGGGTTGGTATAGATAGTACAGTTTTCTCAAAGGTCGAAAAGTTCGCGCCAAGATGATGTTGGGCCAGACTTTTTATATCTGTTCACTTGCCCTAGCGTCATTCAAGCCACTGAATGAGGTGCAAATTACGGTTACACATTGGTGATATTATGATTGAAAGACGGAGGGGATACCTTAGGTACAATCTTGCAATAGTGATACTCGTTCGAAAGTGCGAGCGCCCCTTTGCCCGGATCAGAATCGCCGAGATTCATTCGAGTGTCGGCCCGCTCATGCGTTCCGGCAAGCAGGGCTACAAGCTTCTAAGCAGGCTACAACTGAGACTATTGTCTAAGTATTGAAAACATGAGTGGGGTCGGCGTGGTCGGCTGGCAAAGAAGGGAGACTATTCGAGTGACAAAGCTCGCTATTCGATCCTTTGTGATTCATCAACAGCCGAACACGCCATCAGAGGATCAATTAGAGCCACGGGTGCAAACGGGAGATATGTGAGCCCACGTCGGCAAGTCGGGTGCTCGGGTTCGTACTCTGTCATCTCCTACCGGTCATCAAAGCTTACCAGGCACAGTGCCCTCATTTGAGAAAAAGAGCAAATATGATTAAGACGTTGCCGCAATGGCCAATGTAGATACCTATGAACTTGGGATCCTCGTTGCGCAATCCCCTGCAACGCGTTACACGCCTTGATCCAATTTGGGAAACACAGTCAGGTAGAATGAATTAGAAAAGCAACAGCTATCATAATAATCTTGCAAGAGAGCCCAGAGATAGTGGCCTGGTGATTATCGTAATATTTCTTGGAGGGCAGAAGTAGGCACTGTAGGTAGGGAGAGGAAAAAGGGAGGTCACTCAGACATATTACTAGGCTATTTAGGGAAGTGTCTTTATAGGGGTATCTGGTTTAACGGCATATCGGGGTCTCAGCGTCGCGGTCAACTCCGCCTCTAACATTTTCTCCCCGATTCATCACCTCTGAGACAGCTCGACATTCCACTCATGATGGAAACTCATGGCAAGAAGCCGGAGAGACTGCACCGGGCCGCGTTCAGCTCCCGTATGAAGGCTTGCTCCTCTTGTCAAAAGCAAAAGGCACGTGCAGGCTCCCCGATCATTTGGCATGCGTGGTGTTTCAACTAGCACATCGCTAACCTCCCTTCAAAGGTGCGATGCTTGCCGAGTGGCCGAGATGGGGCATGCCAGCATTGTAGGAAGAAAAATATTGAGTGCGTCTTCAAACGGCCAGCTCGAGAGATCGAGACGGGGTCCAATGATGCAAGTCCCAATCGGTTCGGCTGCCCGCCTCATGTCTGATAGGTTGCGTCGCTAACACACCATGAAGGTCGGAAATGGTGGATGATCTTCGCATGCTGCACACAGCGATCAATAGCCTCCTACGACAAGGATCTCAGCCGCTGCTCGGGCCTTTAAAGACCTCCCTTACAGGAAGGCTGAATGTTGAGAGCTTGCCTTTGGATGATACTGGCACCTTCATTGAAGATGAGGATCAAGAGATGGAAGAACAATCCGGTTCATTTTGTGCACAGAGTGAAGAGCTCGTCGAGCCATTGAGTCAAGCGCCCATCAGCTCTTTGCATGAAATCACGAGATTGAGGTCTGCTAATGCGAATGGAGCTGTTTCTTCAGCGCCTTTGGCAGTTCAACCACCCGCACAAGAGCCTCAGGATCTCATCACCGAAGGGAATCTTCAGCGGGTTGATGCAGAACGTCTAGTGAAGAGGTTTTTGGAGCGAACTGACTACTACCTCTATGGGATCACAAGCCGGTTTGAAGATCTAGACAGCGTGCGCCGCGCATCTCCCTTGCTGTTCGTGGCAATCTGCACAGTCTCGGCTCTGCATGAACACAGGGGTGAGCAAATATATCGCGTGTGCAGTGCTCGGCTTCGCAAGCTCGTGTCTGACTTCATGTTCAAGAAGCACGTAAATCTCTACGACTTTCAAGGATTGTGCATAGCTTCGTTTTGGCTCAGTGATCTTTCATGGTCAGTGTCTGGTCTCGCCATTCGGCGAGCTATCGAGTTCCAACTAGACAAGTCATACGAAATCGTCATCGGCACTAGCCAACTTGACGACAGGTTTTCTAATAGTCTTGGGCTCAAGGACCGGGAAGATGTGCTCAGCTGTTTGAGGGTGTGGTATCTATTCTACATCTGCGACCATCACCTCTCAATTCTGTACGGCAGGCCTTCAAGTTTTGGCAATCCGTCGTCTGTGGAAGGATGGAGGAAGTACCTCCGTTCCGTTCCCAGCTCAAGCACCGACGTTCGTCTTTCCAGTCAGCTGGAACTGCTTTCGATATTGGAGAAAGTCACCTATATGTTCGGCTCGAATGATGACAGTCGCATATCTGGAAGATTCAGGAAGGAGCTCGATGAATTCGATTTAGAGGTGGACCGATGGCACAATCTGTGGGCTGCTCGATACAGGAGTAAGTTTCGAGTGATTTGTCAAAATGTGAGCGGCTGTTATTAACTGTGTTATGTGCTTGACAGCCCAACGAGATATCGAGAGGCAGATAGGAGCCTTCCCTCGCAAGAATCTTCGCCTGCACTACCACTTCGCGAAACTGTTCATTGGCTCCCATGTCTTTCGAGGACTTTCGTCCAACCCAGTCGATGATCCGATTCCGATTGAGTTTCACGCCTTAGCTCTTGGAACGGTCGAGTCCGCTAGATCAACGATCCAGCTTATCAGCAACGATCCAGATCTCAAAGCTGGGTTGGTGGGATTGCCGCACTACAACCACACAATGATAGCATACGCGTGCACTTTCCTTCTCAAAGTCGCAACAAAGTATCATCGCCATCTCGATATCGATCAGAATGATGTTTTCGACCATGTGTCAAAAGCTGCAGAGATCTGCCAGTCCATACAATGTACGCGGTACCACCTTGTCAGTTGGATGGGGGCTGGATTGGCTAAGTTTGTTGAAAATTGCCGCAAGCTTGCTGGGAGGCAATCAGAGACCTTTGCGGACGGACGTGAGCGCGAAACAACTGTCAGCCCGACTCTCCCCACTCGGAAGGTTAGGGCTATGAGTAGAACTATGCCATCAAATGATGCATGGGATTCGGCAAGACGAGTTGCTGAAGCATTTCCAACAAGTCTGCAAGGATTCATGGACGGCAACTACAACTTCCCAGATGATGCTGTTGGCATGGACAGCATGGAGACCTTGGATTTAGACATTTTGGATGGATCTGACCCAGCATGGGACTCATTTTTACCGTCGTTCAACTTTGAGCATATGGGGTTTAGTTTACTCTAAATGATAGCCCGTTAGCGGACCAAAAAGCCTAGAATATCTCCAAAACCCAACTACATTGTCCAAGGTACTAAGACAGAGTAAGCTTGTGAAAACAAAAACTGTCTTGATGCTTTGTGCCGCTAATACCTAGCTAAAGTGAATTCGATTAACATCTTCAAGTACACCAGTTTCAACTGATAACCGTGCCGCAAGTATGGACTGGCAGAATAATACATGGACGAACTACTCGTTGCCTATCTCTTGCGTCACAATGAGAATGAGGTTAAAATAATGAATTGAGACCCCCCCCCCCGGCTGAATACGTGTGGCTCCGCGCCTATTTGCTAAGCCATTCGAACTCATCACCCAAAAATTGCTTTGCTCTGAGGTCCCCAGAGCGAGCATGACCCTCGAAGTTCTCAGCGCGTGCAGCACGACCACACAATCGACCCAGCTCTCCGCTCTCCGATTCGGAAACAACTTCCTGATAAGTGACAGTCTTTAGGAACTTCCCAACCCAGAGCCCGCCGGTAAATCTACCTGCCTTCTTCGTTGGCAGGACATGGTTTGTGCCGATACACTGGTCAAATGTCAGCATAAACAGAGACGCCGGGGTAGTCAAGATAATCGCGTACCTTGTCGCCATAGGAAACGCAAGTCTTGGCTCCGAGGAATAGAGCGCCGTAGTTTCTCATCTTCTCCAGGGCCTCCCTCGGTCTCTCCGTCAGGATTTGAACATGTTCGCTTGCATAATCATCTGCCAAGGCATAGGCCTCTTCTAGAGAATCGACTACAATCACTTCGCCGTAGGTATTCCAAGAGACCGAGGCTAGCGGTGCAGTTGGCAGAATCTTCAAGAGGCGATCAACCTCCTCCAGGGACTTTTGGGCTACGGTCCTTGAGTTAGTGATGAGAACTGCCGGAGTATCCGGTCCATGCTCCGCTTGAGAAAGCAGGTCAGTTGCGACGGTTGTCGGATCCGCCTTGTCGTCGGCGACAATGAGAATCTCAGTTGGCCCGGCGGGAAGATCGATCCCAATCTCACCAAAGAGCTGCCTTTTAGCTTCGGCTACAAAGGGGTTACCGGGACCCGCGATGAAGTCGACCTTGTCCATGGTTTCGGTACCAATGGCCATCGCCGCAACGGCCTGAACGCCGCCGAGTATCCAAATCTCGTCAGCTCCTGCATGATATGCAGCCGCCACGGTTGAAGGAGGTATCTCTCCGTTAATTGGAGGCGTGCAGGCGATGACTTTGGGTACCCCCGCTGCTTTTGCTGTGAGAATCGTCATATGTGCGGATGCGAGCAACGGATACCTTCCACCGGGGATGTAGCTATTCGACTTTCAGCAACTTGGCATATGAGAACACGTAACGTTGGAAGACCTACGCTCCGACTCGATCAATGGGGATATTCTTCTGTCCAAGGAAAACTCCCGGGCGAATCTCGAGCTCAAATTCCCTTAGAGAATCTCGCTGAGCAAGAGCAAATGTCCGAACGTTGCTCTGCACCGTCTTGATGTCGGCAATAACTTGGGCAGGAACCTCTGAAACGATCGAGTCAATGTCTGATTGGGAGAGCTTAAAGGACGCCGGCGACCACTTGTCGAACTTTTCTGAATAATTCCGGACAGCTTTGTCGCCAGTCGCCCGAATATCGTCAATAACGCCCCTTACAATCCCTGGGACATCGAGAGGGGATGTAGAGTTGGTGCCATTTGTAGTGGCTTTGGATTTGAGGTATTGGACCATTGTGGACGGTGGTGATGTACGGGCAATGGTAGTGTCTGGAACAGGGAGCTTATTGAGGTAAAGGGATCTTGTAGGATTATTGTTACTTGCTCTGGAGAAAGGATGAAAGTCGCAAGATGGTTTTCTATATTTCTGAAGACTTTCCTCATGCTTTAATATACAACGCGTCAACATCGATGTTGGGGTCCTTAGGTCGCGGAGTTTCTCGGAATTCCGTCGATTGTGTAAGTTACTCTCCCCTCAAGTGTCATTCAACCTCTTTCGAGGATAAACCTGTCATATCTTCTCGTAGATGGCCATCGTTTGAGTATCGTAAGTAGGTGCTCCTATCATTCGCTTTTTCGAAAATTTTCACACCGCCGAACATTGCTCTAAGAAGCAGTCTCTGCTCCAGGTTATGAGCGTGAGATCGTGCTCTCAGTAAGGTACGCAAAGTAGACCCCGGTAGCTGCATTGTACGCTAGCTTATGCATGAGGGAAACGCATCTAGAGATTCACGGGCAAAAGCTCGGAATTCCGAAACGCCCCGGATTGAGACTTCCGCCATGCGGGGCAAGCCTCCCCTAACTTGACTTGTCTCTCTTGTGACGGCTCTCCCTTACGGCAATCCTTAAGATTCTTCGATCGGCAAGCCAATTCATTACATAAGCGGCATTCAGTCAAACTGACTGGAATTGTTTCCATCGTCGTCATGCCATCTGACGTGAACGAGCGCGTCGCCCTCGTTGGGCTAGGGGCCATCGGCATCTCCTTCGCGGCCCTTTACCTGAGACATACAAAGAGCACCGTCAGAGTCTTTGATACGAGGCCAGACCTCGAACAGCACGTTTCCACAGTCCTGCCAGGTTACATCGACTCGGATGATGCGTCGCTGGGCATATCCCGCCTGCGCGAATCCGGCCGCCTCGTGATCTGCACCACGCTCGAAGAGGCATGCGGCCGCGCCACCATCGTCCAGGAGCAAGGTCCGGAGAATCCAGATTTCAAGCGGTCAGTATGGCCAAAGATTGAAAGTTTTGCGCCTGCTGGCGCACATTTCTGGAGCTCGACGTCTGGCATCGCTGCGTCGGTTCAGAGCCGCGATATGGTGGATACGACTCGTCTTTTGGTGGTCCACCCTTTCAACCCGCCGCACATCATGCCTTTAATCGAGATTGTCCCATCACCGACTACAAATGCGGACGAAGTCGAGTTTGCCAAAATGTTCTTCGCAGGGCTGGAGTCCGGTCACCGACCTGTGGTCATCAAAAAAGAGGTTCCTGGTTTCGTCGGGAACCGTTTGGCATTTTCGCTGCTCAGAGAAGCTTGTTCACTGGTTGACCAGGGCGTCGTCAGCACGGAAGACGTTGACACCATTATGGAAGCGAGTATCGGGCCCAGATGGGCGGTGCAGGGCATCTTCAAGTCGTACAATATGGGTGGCGGGGTAGCTGGGATCCAGGCCTTCTTGATTAACCTTTCTGGGACTGTCCAAGAGGTATGGGATGGTTCGCAGCCTATCAATTTCCAGAAAAAGGCAACGAATGAGTTGGAGGGCACAGGGACGAGTGACGGGCCAACATGGGATGCGAAAGTTGTGCAACAGACTGTGGATGCCTACGGTCTGCCCAATCCAGAGCAATTTCGGGAGCGAGATGCAGCTTTGAGGAAGATTTTGGATGTTCAACGGCAGCGAGAGACCCATACCAAGAAGTAGAGTGCTTCTTTGTTTGAGTCAAGGGCTTCTGGAGTTGTGTTCAAAGCCTAGTGTTGTGTTCAAAGCCTTGAATCAGAAGAGGAGCAAAAGGCCAGCTTCATTCTCACTGGGCTGTCGTTATCATTGCATCATGATCCCTGAGGTCAATGTGCTAGACTGTGGATGTTGGATTGTATTCAGGCATGCTGTACGGAGCAGTATCGCCGCCAAGGTATCTCATGTATGTTACTGAGGGTTACCTCGAGGCAAGGACTCCATGATTAGCCGTTTACACGCTGGTAGTACCGAGCAGGTGGAACAGCTGGATACCCGAGGTCATCTAGGGTGTTATAGATCCAGCACCCGGGATAGTGGTAATGATTTAAGGAAAGTCAACGGGTAATCCAGGTCAATTGACATCGTCGCGCTGGGTTTAGACGACTTCGCTGCAATCAGTTGGGATTCTCCAAACAAACGCTCGAAGTGACATTCCCGGCCAGACCCGGGTTACCCGGGATTTCAGTCCGAGATCCTTGTTCGTCGGAAGACCCCCCGCGGGACCCCTTCCGTCTTATCACAATATCCGTATCTTCCACGGGCAAAGATTATCCGTATCTAACTCCTTCGTGTTGGGGGGAGAATTACAACCTTATCTACCGGCGGGGTAAGACCGAGGATTCGTTATGAGTCGTTCGGCCGTCACGCTGTTGCAACGTGCCGACGGTTCAATGTTGTCAAGGGGAACCCCCCCCCCCCCGACGGTTGGGAACTTTTTGTTTTGAGTTTAACGCCAATTGGACCAAGCATTGCCGCGTCGGGACAAGACTTGTCAAGACGATAAGCGGGCAAGGGTTCACTCAAATAAGTTCCTCTAAAGGAATCCCAACCGCACGTAATCCTCCATGTTCCCTGTCGTTTCCCCCCTCCTTCCGGGGAAATAAACGGCGCCACCCCGCCCCCGGCCTCGGGCGAGATAACACGAATTACCTGGGAACACCACCCTTTCGCTCTATGGAGGTGGAGAAAGGAGACCATTTATCCATGATAACGATGCCTCGTGGTACGTTACGGTGGGATGGTCCTGGTGACCGTTATTACGTCCTTCGGGCAACTTCCCTCTTGGGATCTTGATTGAGTTCAATTGATTCACCGGTTGATCAAGTTATATGAGAGACGCGTACGTACACCCATCGTGAAGCAAGTGTTCTTAATGTTGGTCGGTCCCAATCTGCGACCAACACCCGCGAAACCTGAGATCGATCAGCCATTGAGCTATGACGATCTAGCTAGTGAATCTTCGCTGCGTAGAGCCTTGCAGTAGCCACCAACATCAACATCACGCTCGATAACATAGGCAAAGCCAATAGCCGCCATGGCCGACGAAAAGAACCATAGCGTGGACGTCACGCAGGCGGCGACAGACCTCGAAAACTTCCAGCGCGATCATCAATGGGACCCCAATTTGCCCCAGGACAAGGCCGACATGGTGAAGAAGGCGCTCCAGGACGGCGATTCTGAGGAGATCATTGCCGCCGATGCCATTTTGACGGAGGATTCGCCCTATGAGGAAGTACGTGCTGCTGTACGCAACACAGATGGGGGTGAAGTCGCCAACACAGTTCGAGCGTGGATTCTGGGTATGATTTTCGTGACAATTGGGAGTGGCCTCAACATGTTTTTGAGTATGAGGTAAGTGGAGCTGAGTTGGACATGACTTTGGAACGTCAGGAATACCGATGATTGACACTCTTCCTCCATCTTCGCAGGAGTCCCGCTATCAACTTCCCATCCATCATTGTCCAATTGCTAGTCTACCCAATTGGATGTCTTTGGGCCAGGGTCATGCCAATGAAGGTCTTCAACACCTTTGGCGTTCAATGGACGTTCAACACCGGCCCCTTTACGATCAAGGAGCACGTGGTTATCACTCTCATGTCGAACGTCTCTATCGGCTACGCCTACAGCACCGACGCTCTCCTCGCGCTCCAGGGCAAGCCCTTTTACGACATTAACCTCGGATGGGGCTTCCAACTGCTCTTCACGCTGAGCTCCCAGCTCATCGGCATCGGCCTAGCAGGCCTTTGCCGCCGGTTTCTCGTCTGGCCGGCCGCCATGATCTGGCCCAACCAGTTCGCCAACACGTCTCTCTTCTACGCCCTCCACGACAAGAGCAAGAGCGACGGCACGCACAGCAACGGCTGGATCATCAGTCGATACCGGTACTTCTTCTACGTACTCGCAGCCATGTTCTGCTACTACTGGATTCCGGGTGTTCTCTGGCAAGGCTTATCGGTGTTTGCCTTTGTCACCTGGATCAAGCCGAACAACATCGTCGTCAACCAGCTTTTTGGAGGCTTCACCGGCCTCTCTCTGATTCCCATCACGTTTGACTGGACCTATGTTTCCGCCTACCTCGGCGACCCCCTGCTCTCACCTACACACACCCACGTTAATGTCTTGATCGGCCTCTTCACGTTCGTCATCATCCCCACCATCGGTATCGCGTATTCGGGCGCCCTCTTCGCAGACTACCTCCCCATCAACACTTCGCAGACCTACGACAACACCCAGAGCTCCTACAACGTCAGCAAGATTCTCGGACCTGGCTACACCTTTTCAGAAGAAAAGTACAAGCAGTACTCGCCCCTCTTCCTCCCGCCCACCTTTGCCCTCAACTACGGCCTCTCCTTTGCCGCCCTCACGGCCGCCATCGTCCACTGCGGCTTTTTCCACGGCAAAGAAATCTGGTATCGCCTTAAGGCCGCGCGCAACCAAGAAGCCGACATCCATCTCAAGCTCGCGAAAAAGTACGTCGACGCGCCCGAGTGGTGGTACGCCGTACTCCTGCTCTTCGCCATCGGCCTCGGTCTAGCAACAGCGGAAGGCTACGATTCCCAGCTGCCTTGGTGGGCCTTCTTCGTCGCCAATTTTCTAGCCATGATCTTTGTGATTCCCACGTGCACGATCCTCGCCATCTCGAACCTCGGCCTCGCTCTCAACGTGCTGTCTCCGTTCTTGGCGGGCTTCATGATCCCCGGGAAGCCGATTGGTGTCATGATCTTCAAGGTGTACAGCACGATCACTCTCGGCCAGGCGCAAACATACTCTGGCGACCTCAAGATGGCGCATTACATGAAGATACCGCCTCGCGTCACGTTTTGGTGTCAGGTTGTGGCTACCATCTGGGCCGTCTTTGTGCAGATTGCCGTGATGAACTGGACTCTTGGCAACATTGAAAACTGTTGTGCACTGTGAGTCTATCCAAAGAAACCCTTATGATGACTCACTCTTGGTAAGCTTGATATCTGACATTTTGACCTTAGCACACAACACGCACACTTCACCTGCCCCAATGGCCGAGCCTTCTTCTCATCCTCAATCGTCTGGGGCGTGATCGGTCCCCGCCGCATGTTCGGCGCCGGCTCCATCTACCACAACTTCAACTACTTCTGGCTCATCGGCGCCTGCCTGCCCATCGTATTTTACGTGCTGGCCAAGGTCCTCAACCTCAAGTTCGCAAAGGTCCTCCACGCGCCCGTCATGCTCGGCGCCATGGGCTGGCTCCCGCCGGCGACGCCCCTCAGCTTCTCTAGTTGGGCCATCGTCGGGCTCATCTTCAACCACGGGGTGCGCAAGAGGTTTCACGGGTGGTGGAAGACGTACAACTACATCACCGCCGCCGCGCTGGACGCCGGTCTCATCATCAGCACCATTGTCATCTTCTTCGCCATCACGTTGCCCAATGTCACGATTCCGCAATGGTGGGGAAACGTCGACGTATATAATACCTTGGTGAGTTGCATATGCATCTTGAAATTGGGACTGGGGACCCTTCCCCTCCTCCCTCACTCTCCCCGCGAAACGCGGATGCCCGCAAGTGAATGCGCTCGCTGGCAACGCTATCTGACGTCGAGGCTCATTTCAACTAATCGTGTCTTGCATATAGGACTCCACGTATGGCGCCATTCTGAAGACGGTGGGGGAGAATGAGACCTTTGGTCCGACCAGTTGGTGAGAGAGGATCGTAAATCCTCCTGCATGACGATGCAGACAGCCGCAGTTAGCGCCCGCGGGGCCCCCAGATAGGAAATTAGTATTGAATTGCTGCCCAAATTGCTACCCAAGCGGACCTTGCATCCTTCCATCTTCTTCTAGATGCATTCTAGAAGTCATAGTTCAAGAGTCACAGTGAAATCGGTAAGCTGCTCGGGAGTATCGTGAGATCTTAGAGTGGGGGAGAGGAGACAAAACTCGCAGTCTGATTATCATTTGTACAGTTTTTTTGGTAATGTATCTTCTGAAGATCATGATGATTGTGAAGAAAAAAAAAGCAAAAGGAAATACCAAACAAGTCTAATTGTACTCCGTGAATGCTGGCGGATTCTCGTTATTTGTTGATGTTGATGTTGTAGTCGCAGCAGGAAAAAAAAGCAAACGAGGCATTTGATGCATGCAATCATGATAGGTGTCATAAAAAAAGAAGGGAAAAAAAAACATTCAGAGCCGCCGTCGTGCCACTCATAGCACCCGTATCAAGAGCCGATCGATCGATGGTAACCATATCATCATCATCCTAGAAATGCGCGTCATCTCATCACCCATCAAATCCCAATGTCACAACTCATTTTTTATCAGTCCGCCCTGGCCGTAGCGACATCGTACATTGAAGCAGAGACCTCGTGTTCAGAGGCCCGATGACTCCGGGAGCGCGGCAGGTCGATGCGTTGTCTGTACGGCCGAGCGGCGCCGTCGACGTGGTGATCCGACATTTTCCGCGGGAGGTCTTCACCTCTCGGCGGGGGCGCTTCTTTCCGGGAATGCCTTCTCTCTCGAGACGCGTGGGACCGGATCGAGGACGCGTCGTCGCGCTCTCGCTCTCGCGGTGGCGACGGCTGCTGCATCGGCATCGGGGACGGGAGGTCCATCGGCGGCAGCGGCGGGGCCGGGGGCGGAGGGGGCGGCATTTCTGCGCTGACGAGGGGTTCCCGGTCCCGTTCTCGGTCGCGTTCCCGATCGCTACGGTCGCTACGGTCTCCTCGATCGGGCTTCCGCTTCTCAATGACGGACGAGGTCTCATCCGGTCGTAGAAACACATCGGGATGGTCCGGGTCGCTTCCGTCCTCGGGCTCCTCGTCGAAATTGAACTCCTCCTCGTCATCCTGGCTCCCACCGCCATTGACGACGCTCGCCTCGAGCTTGGCGCCCTTTTTGCCGACGAGCTTGCCCTGGCGGTACTGCTCCAACGCCTTTTTCAACACGTTGCGCATGACGGCCTTGTTGACGTTCCTCCGCACCCGGTCAAAGTAGCGCGTAACGTCGCCGACGACCATGACTTGTGCATCGTGGTCGATCTCGAGCACGTCGGCGTAGTTTGCGCGTGAGTTTTCTTTCACGCGGAACTTGCCCGGACGGAGCTGCATGCCGACGGGGGAGAAGGGGAGACGATCGAAGGGCGGGGTGCGGTCGTTTTCGTCAAAGACGTAGCCCTGCTGGCTCGAGTCGATTCCGGGCTTCTGGAAGTCATTTTTCGTGGGGGTGGAGATAGGACTGGTGACATTGTCGATCAGAGGTTAGCGAGATGAAAGGTTTAGGTTTGTTATGGCTTGAATTGGTTTGCTGACGGGGGTTTGGTGGGATGAGGGGCGCTGATGAGGAGGGGTAAAAGGCAACAACAAGCTCAACCACATCAACAGAGGGAAACCAGCGGTGGCAGACTGGAGATGATCAAAACTTACACACAGTGGCAGTAGTGCGGAAAAGTGTCGCTGTGTCGAAGGACGATGAAGCGCGTGTAGCCAAGGCACTTCCACTCCCACTCGAACTCGTGCGAGTCTGCCCAGAGAAACTCAAAGACGTCGCCGACCTCGCATCTCGACGCGGGGCCAATATCGTAGCCTTTGCGGGCTGGAGATTGTCTCAATGTTAGCAAATAAACCTGGTGATTTCATGGACCGTCGGTCATAGGTTTGTACTCACCCAGAGGGTGCTCGTACGAGCTCTCGTGCGTGCCTATGGACGCATCGTCCCCGTTCCCCGAGTCACTCTTAGTGCTCTTGGTACTCTTACTCCTGAAAGTCGAAAAATCTCGGTTCCCGATCACCATCTCTTGCCACACATCCCAGGAACAGGAAAAAGAGGGAAGAGGAAAAGGAAGGGAAGAGAGTTTCTGAAGGGGGTTGTTTAAAGATTCAATTGTCGGTATGGTGTATGGATAGCTCTGGCGGAGACCAAAGAGAAAAAAAGGTCGAGGCAAGGTAAGGTAGGTAAGAGAAAGGGTACGGAGAATGGGTCAAATCATTGCAACATGACGGAGACTGAAGACTGGGGGTGTGGGATGAGCGGTGGGATGCAGTACCTAGGTAGTGGTTTAACCCAACCTCGAGAACCACAATCGAGCAGCAAGAAACCCGGGGCTGACTGGACTCCTTTGGGCTTGGGATCTCGGAGCGATTGAGATGAGGCAGGGCGAAATGCAACAAGGGGGAGGGATCACCTCGGGTAGGGACAGAACAGACTCTGCTTGTCTGAGTAGAGGTGAGAGGTGAGTGAGAAGAGGCGAGGCCAGGCGAGGCGAGGGTCGTGAAGGGCGGTCTCGTCGAAAACCTGCGGCCACGCTTGCAGCAGAGAGAGCAGTAGACCAAACAGAATGAAGAGATTCTGGCTGGCTGCTGCCTCTCTCTACTTTTTCCGCCACGTCGCTACTATGGATCATGCGCGGTGTATGATGCCCAACCTCCACCGCCATGCGTCGGCTGCGATGTTAATGGCCGCGGTGAGGGTTCTCGTCTCCACCCCGCCGCCATTCCAACCAGACGTGAGTTGTCCCAGAGTTCCCCCTCCCTAGGAGTACATGATGTACAGGACCCGTCGTTGTCACCGCCATTTCGGCACGGATCATTTCACCGGCGTGCCGGGGTTGCTGATCAATCAGTCATCTTCTTTCGTTATCTCTTTCCCTTCCCCCTCCTGGCGCTGCTCCATGGGACGACATTATTCTTGGAATATGAATCAAGTTCAGCTCGTCGTCTTCTTCTTCAACAGCTGCTTGAAAAGGAGGGTGTCATGAAGCCTAACTCGGCCCAGGACCGTCCATGTTGCGCTGTGCTAACAGTGTTGGGGGGTGCGGGTGCAGCCGCCTTACTATCAGCTGAATGAGGGGTTAATGCGCCTATTAATAGGATTAGTTTAGGGGCCCTGCACAGGAATCTCCCGATTGAGAATAACAAGCTCGTCAACGTCGTCTTGAAGACAAGACAGACAGACTCGCAGGACGACTCTGAAGTGAATCTATAACTCGATGACCACATCACGAGAGCTTACGAGAGCTCACGAGACAGTGTAGCCACTGGTGGCTCACCTCGAGCATATGATCAAAGTCGCTCGATCGATCTGTATCGGTGCCTGAGCACAAGGCCCAACGGCGTGGCACAACGCTCTGCAGCAGCAGCAAGGATCCTCGTGTCTCACCCAACCAGGAACAACACGTTGGACATTATTCATTCAGTCGCGATGACTCTCGAATTCCCACACTCAAAGATGGAAGAGCGTAGAATCATGACATATGGTGCCTCTTACTAGACTCACTACGCCCACCTAGTACTCTGTAAGGTTGTAAGTCTATACGCACGCACCATGTCTTGCTTGTCTACAGCGTTGTCCAAGGTGCTCGTGCTGGCAAAACTGGGTAACATTCCAGCCAAGCCATTTTCCGCGCCTGAGAGAGGAACCCCATCGACAATCACTCACCGAGAGTTCAAGACGCGGTCAAGCTGAATGAGGGATATCAACGCAGGAACGAAGATAGAATGTATGAGTTGATCGTCAAAGACCCAGAAAATCCTAAATACGTACAGAAGAATGTGAATTACAAAGAAAACAATTGCCAAGGTATGGCACTAGCTCAACCCCTAGATCCAAGTCCTGGCAAGCTTAGTAAATGCCCCATTTCACCGCCTGTTGGTGACTGTTCCCGTTACAGTCCATCTCTCCCTTGGCTCCCACCTTTCCGTCACTATTCTCAAACTTTCCAATCGCAGTGTTGATGATATCAATCACATCCTGGCCACCGACATAGAACTCGACGTTCCCATCAACCTTGGTCGCCTCGACACCAAAAGAACACCCGCCAAACTTGGCGATCTCGCGCTGGTTCTTCCCCACGACCTGAGTCGTCCAGTCGGTGCCCCCGTCGCCCTCAATGTTCTTGATAATCTGCCGACAATCGCTCGCGCTCGGCGACGCGCCGCTCGTCTGGTCCTCAAACGACGACAAGCCGCAGTAGTCCTTGCCCGGCGGCACATCGCACGGGTAGTTCTCCGTGGAGCCCTTTGTCTCGTCCCTCGTCGCTGACTCCCATCTCTGGAACGCGCGCTCGGCGCTGCAGACGGGGATGCGGATGAAGCCCGGCGTCGTGACGTCCACCTCCAGCAGGTCCTCCTGCACGCCCTCGTCATCTACGTTGGCGAAGCCGCCGCCGTTTTTGCCGCCATTGGCCAGATATGTCCGCACCGCGCCCTTGATCAGATCTTCCTTCGTGACGTCGCCAAAGCTGTCGCCTAGCTTGCCGACACCCTTGGGCGCCGAAAACTTCTGGTCAACGCACCCGCCCTCGGAGCATTCGTAGGCGTCGCCGTCTGGACTGGCGAGGTAGTATAGCTTTCCGTCATAGCAGGCGCCCGTGGCCTTCATGGTCTCGTCCGAGAGGTAGTCATCCAGCGGGTTCGACGCATCGCAGCCGTAGCCCGAGTCAATCACGAACGCCCACGCGCTCGAGGCATGCCAGAGGGCGGGGATGGCATAGGCGAAATAGGATTTTTGGATGTTTGATAACAGCGTAGTGGCGTCCACGGTCGGCTTGACAGATTTGGGATACAGATTACCGTTAGCGATGGCCTTGCCGATGAGGCTGACCGACTCGGAGGAGCCGTCAAATATTTTCTCGAGGGCGAGGGAGGTGACTGCAGCCCAGCCGTCAATGACTTGGCCCATGTAGTTGGAAAACTTGTCCTGGTCTTCGGGTTTCCAGTCTGATTCGTCCGCGTCTGGCAGCAGGTCTTTGGCAATGGTTGTGCTTTGGCCAATCAGAGTCATGCTGGTGTCCTTGAGGTTGTCTAGGGACTTGACGAACTTCGGCAGAGACTTGAGGAACGTGTTGAAGAAGGGTCCTGCAGCAGAAAGTGTTCCCAGAGTGACGAGATCGATGAGGAGGAGAAGCCAGGTATTGTCCTCCTCGGGAGGAATCGGCGCAAAAGTGTTCTCCATATCCTTGAGCGCGGCGACGAGGCCTGTAGCGGCCTTGTACAGAGCGTCATAGTATGTGGCGTGAATATTCCGGATTGTGACGATCGAGTTCCAAATCAGCTGCGCCGCCGGCCCCGAATACTTCCCGTCCATGCTCTTGGAGCATCCGTCGGTACTACAGATGTCTCCCAGGACGCTCCCGCAGTTGTCCGCGCCGGCCTCAATCATGAGTGTCGCATGCACAGAAGCGAGGAACTTGGTATCGCCATAGGGTTGATCCGTCTCTTTCCAGATTCTCACAACGTCTTCCCACGCCGCGTCCGCGTTGAGACCCTGCCAGAGCTCATCAACATCACGGTGAAGCTGGTCCACTGCGTAAATGTTCATGCAGTCGTAAGCGGTCCAATTGCCATTACGGGTATAATCCGACTTGGGATCCTGCCCGCTGATGGCGAGCTGCTTGAACTGCGCCCAGTCTTTCGCGGGTGCGGGCACGTCGTGGTATTTCTGCAAGTCTGTCGCCCAGTCTGTGGTGCCTCCCATACCCCAGGCAGTGTAGAGCGCCGCGCGCGTCTTCTTGGTGCTGGCGCTCATGTAGGCGACATACTCGCCGTCGTCGTAGACGAGCACGTCGCTGTTACTGCTGGCATCGAGGAAGCTCGTCACCACACGGCCGGCACGGCGCTTGTCGCTCATGATCTCGGCAATCTCGGCGTCGGCGATGTAGCCCGCCGTTCCCGTGCAGACGCCCTTGGCCGCCTCCGAGTTGAGTCGGTCGCCGGTGTACAGGCAGTCTGGGCCCCAACAGCTCGGATCCGCCATTTTGAAGGATCGTCCGTAGCTGGTAACGCCGACGACGATCTTCTTGCCCGACACGCCGGCCTTGGTGATCATGGCCAGGGACTGCTTGGTCTCCGTCAAATTCACCTGGCTGCGTAGGCAGTTGCCCGTATCGCACCCTTCCTGTGAGTTTGCATTGTTGGCATCCCATTGTCCGTGAAGATCATACGTCATGTAAACGATATAGTCAATGACCTTGCCGATGGCATTGATGGGGTACTGCTTCAGGTACCAGTACGACGAGGGCGCTGCGATGGAGACGGTCTTGCCGGGTAGTAGGTTCTTCAGCAATACAAGGAAGGCCAGGTAATTGGGGCCATCATCTTCGCTGGCGGGTGGGATGCCGGGAAGATCAGGCGCACCAGGGTATTCCCAGTCGATGTCGACACCGTCGAGGTTGTGTTTCTTGATGTAGTTGGCAATGTTTGTCGCAACTTTGAGGCGGTTAGCCGGGGTAACGGCCTCACGGAAGATCCAGTAGGTGTCAGGGAAGGTCGAAAAGTCCCAGCCGCCAAAGGACAAGATCTTCTTGGGTCCATTGATGCGCTTGAACTGCGCGAACTGGTACGCTGACAGTATGTCGCCAACCTCTACCTCGAAGTCGGCTGTCAAAGTGCCAAAGGCAAAATGGATGTGTGTATACGCTGACGAGTCGATCTGCATAGCATCCTGGAAAAGACACTCGCGTCCCAGGCCGTAGCCTTCGAAGTAGCCGATCCTGATACTGCCTGTGCCATCGCCTTTGACCACGTCGGTCCCGCAGTTGGAAATGCAGCCATAGGTGCCCGGCTCAGCAGTTCCAGGGGCTCCCGTGTTGGTATCGATGCAGAAGTCCTTGGTGATACCGCACTGGCCCCAGATGTTACAGCAGGCGTTCAAAGGGCAGGGATTGAGCTTAGCAATATCCGAACCATCGGTCGGCGGCGTCGTGCCAGGTTTTTGAGGACCGCAGTTTGCGTTGGCAATCTCGGCGGGAAACGGCGGCGTCCCGTCGCTGAGACACATGATAGTATCCGTGAAGAGCAGCTGGCAGCCGTTCCAGCCCCACGTCTTCTTATTAAAATCTTCGAGCTTCTGTCTCGTGAGACTGTACTCAGCGGCGAGATCGTCGCAATTGTCGTTCGCCTTCACCTGGTACGAGTAGCATGAGCCGTCCGAGTTCTTGTCCGGGCTGAAGTCGGGCATATCGCCTGTGGAGCAGCAGACGTGCTGCTTCGGCCTCAGAGTAGCACAGAAATCTGATGCCGAGTTGATCTTGGTGAACTCAGCGGCCGTGATGCCGCACTTTGTTGCCAGCGCCGCGCAGCTGTCGCCGGATTCAACCTGTACGGTTCTGCATTCTGCGCGAGCATGAAGTCGGCTGTGAGTGGTGCCGTGGACACGCTTGGCTATTGTCGAGTTGGTAGTGCCGTTTGTGGGAATCGTGCCGTTCGAGGGCAGAAGAGGCGTGGTAAATTTGACTAGGCCGCTAACGCTGATGGAATCCTCGAAGGAAAGGCAGGTAGCATTATCCCACGTCTTGAGTGCGTCTTGAATTGGGCTAAAGGAGCCGTTACTCAACAGCATCAATCCAAAGATGTGAGTACTGTCGTAGCCTGGCTCGCAAAGTTGCATGGCCAGGCTTGGTGTCGACACGTTAAGAGTAGGCAAGATGTCGTGGAGATTCTTAAGGGCCGACTCGCCGATGCCTTGGTTCAGCAGACCTTGGCCAATGTAGAGTCCGACTGTGGCTTGACCAGACTGACCAAACATGATGAAGGGTCCGTCTGTCTCGCCATGCCCGTGCTCAATATACTTGCGCATCTGTTTGATCAGAGAGCGAAGGCCGGCGGTGGCTTGGCCAAATCCCTCTTGCCACCACCCAATTTCAAAGTCAACGTCGATCGACTCTGATGATGGAACGCGAGCGGTTGATGCAGGTAGCTTAGAGAAATCAGGGCCATATGACGAACAGGCATGGATGCGGTGGTTAGCCGCCTTGTCGTCAACGGGGTCATAGAGAGAAAAGCGGTAGAACATGGTCTGCTTGCATTTCTGCATCTGCTTGAAGTCGGGATAAACCGACCAATTTCCAATATTGGGACCGGAGACACTGCAACGCTCTGGGCAGATTTCAGAACTGCTGTAGGTAGGGCTGGAGGGAAGTCTGAGCCCGGTCCGCGACCTCGCCGAGGCTCTTTCAGCCAAAAGGCCAACGCCCACAAGGGCCGCAGTGAGCCAAGGCAAGTGCATATTGACTCTAGAGGCTGGCGCCTCGTGCACTATAAGTGAGGAGGTAAAGAAGGTGAGGAGTTGGTAGAGATCGTAAGGGCGAAGGAAGGTAAAATGCAAGATAGGAGACAAAAGATTGAGAGGAGCGTACACAGTTGGCTAATTCCGGTACCTTATAGTTGCTAACAGCGTAGCAGCTTTATATGTTCCCCCGGCTTGAGGTAGACAGAAGCTTATCCCTTAAGTCACCTCTTGAGCTACGATAATGAATCCTCTTCGAATCCGATGAAGCACAGAGTTCTGAATCTCGTTCCGATTCCCCCTTTGATCCTGACACCCCCCATAGCCTAAGAATATCGATCGAAAGCAAGTTTTAAATTGCGAGTAAGCACTATTGAATCCATGAGCGGTCAGAAGGCAGCAAAATTTCACCTCAACGCCACACAAAACCTCCATTCCGACTGTCTGGAGGTTGCGATATCCTTGAACTTTTCGGGGGCGAAAAGAGCTGCCTTTTGCCTCGAAACCACCTTTCTTATGCCGTGTTTCCCGAAGTCTCCTATGGTTCTGGGCATAATTCGCAAGGCTCACTCTTGGCAACTCGATCGTAGAGCCTTGGCTGTTGGACGCATATTACAGCAAGTAATCCTTCACGCAGCTGCCCCCCTTCGACAAGCGTGACCAACAGCTGAGTTTCCAGAAAGAACACTTCCGAAGGATCAAGGTGGAGTCGTCCAACCCCGGAAAGACAACATGCTTTGAGTTAAGCTAAATGAGCGGGCTGGCGGAAGCGATGGAGCGGGATGGACCGCCACTCTCCGAAGTTCGCCAAGCCCGCTTCCCCCCCCCCCCCCCTTTCCACATCATCTTTCATAATGTTCCCCTGCATCGGAAAATGCAAAAGTTCTGAATCTCGTCTGCTTCCGCTGTGCATACCCATATTACTACATTGATATTACATCAGCCCAATAATATGCTGCTCTTGCCTGTATTCATCTACGTCAAATCCTTCAGGCAAGGTCACCTGCGAACTACATGCAGGAGGCACAGGAGGACGACGCAGGGCATTCTTGTTCAGCCTGATCTCGGATTCCTTGACAGACCCTCAATGAGGCATTGAATTTTTTGATTCTCGTCGAAGTTCCATGTTCAGTCATCTCGGTGTGAAACGCAACTACCATTCATATATTTGTCACATCAAAACGTGGAAGATCGCACCCAATGCGGCAGCCAAACACACCACTCCTCCAACACCCAACCCATGATCCGCAGCATTTTCGTCACCATCGTTGCCTAAAGGGCACTCGATTGGTGGATTCTGAGCCTCGCACGCCCGAGCAGTAACAGTGGCGGAGATGCTCGACGCCTCGGACTCGGTCATCTTGATCTGGCAAGGGTTCGGCGTGACCGTTGATGATGCCACCACAGCACAGGTACCGCTGCCTGGCCACTTTGAGATTCCGGTGGAGTTGAGCGTATCAGTCACGCTGATGGCGACACCCGCGTCAGATGAACAATCCTGTTCGTTTGTGGCGGCCACGAGATCCACACTTTGCCCGCCGTTCTTGGTGGTGAAAATGATGGCATTGGACGTGTTATTGCTGGGAATTTCGTATGGGTACTCGAATGAATCCTCCGTGCAGCTGAACCATGACACAGTGTATCTGATCTGCCAGGTCCCCTCGACGTTGAACATGACGAAGCCACGGTATTCATAGTATGGGTCGCTGCTAGAGAAGTTGGCAAATCTCACATCGTACTCCGTGGTTTTGACCGAATCGCTCTTGTTATTGTAGTTCCATATCGAGAACCCGATCTTGAGAGCGAGCCCCGGCGCCAAGTGCGAGTTTTGGAAACCGAATATGATAGGTACAAGCGGCGTCGGCGCGTACGTCTCGTTGCGGGGGAATACTAGGTCGATTTCCACAACGCTCGACTGATCGCTCGCTGCGACGGCGGCAGCTCCGAAGATGGTCCATATGCAGGCTAGATGGAACCACCAACGAGTCGTCGAGGATAGTGTCTGCATGCTGACACTCTACCAAAAATGGAAGCTTGATGGGTAGCAGCAGGCGATGTTCGATGCCTCGGTTTTGATGGGGCAAGACAGGCAGGCAATAATTTCGTTGTGATGGGGGAAAAGAGGCACGGAAAAGTAAGAAACATGGAATTTTATACAGATGGATGGGCAAGAAAAGCACCTGGCCACCCCCACAATCCCGGGGAATCTCCCGCCATCTTACCCTTTCAGCCTGCTGGTTCAGTGTGTGCTTCGTCTCTTGACTGTGTGACGGGAGAAAGGAGTTGAATTAAAGCACAACAGTTCGCGTTGGTGCCGATTGGCCGGCTTGGCGCAAACAGTTGTCTTCACAATGTGACAGCAACCAACAGAGTTGATAGGCCGGTTGGTCCGGTCATCCTTGCAACAGTTGCCTACATAATACATGTATTGAATCCTTCTCGGCAGCCTTGCCAATGAGCGGAAGCAGTATTAAGCAATAATCACGCACGCCGCGCTTGGCGCCAAGGTGGTACCTGAGGGACTTGACATGTCTCGGCAACTCTGTACCGTTTTCTTTTCTTGCGCCACCGGCCGTGTAGAGTTACACGCAAGAATCCGTTGAACGGATTTCGGGTTTAGATTGTATTGACTGGGGACGAGCGTTTGCCAGTATAAGCTAGATCACGATGATAGTTCCTGCAGTGCTTACCAAAGTGTCGAATTAGTTCCTGTGACCGGAAGTGGGACGTTGTCAAAGTCGAGTTGCCCAGAGATTCATTTTTCCTGCCTTGAAGGATTACACCTAGCGAAATTTGAGTGTCTTCTCGAAGAGAGAAAAACCTCTCACGGAGGCGAGTATAAGACCTCGGCTTCTATGCCGCCTTCAAGTACCTCTTCATCATCATCATCATCATCATCAACATCAACATCAACATCAACATCAACATCATACTTTGTTGTCTTTCTTTCGATCCTTCTCTCTCTTAAACCACTCCCTAAGATGCAGATCACTCATTTGATCGCCGCCGCGGGAGTTCTTCCTGGGATAGTTTCTGCTAGGTCAGTCCTCTCACGCCGCGCTGTCGACTGCGCTTTCTCCACGGCCCCTGGTAAAAGCGATACTTGCGCAACTTTTGCGAGCAGCTGGGGCCTCTCTGTCGACGATCTCCAGAGATTGAACCCCGGTATCACCTGTCCAGCACCGGACACCAGCAAGTCGTATTGCGTGATCGGCACTGTCACTGATGAACCGGAGCCCACGACTACGACATCCAAGAGCACTACCCCCATTACGTCAACAACCTCCAAAACCTCAACTACTACCACCTCCTCCTCTACCACTACCACCGCTGCTGCCCCTAGTAACTCCCCAACTATGCCCGGCCTTGCAGCCAACTGTGACGGTTTCTACAAGGTCTCTTCCGGTGACTCTTGCGACGCCATCTCGTCCAAGTACGGCATTAGCACTGCTCAGTTCAAGAGCTGGAACACCGAGATCAATGCCGGTACGTACTAATACTTGTCTTGGGTTCGATAATCTAACACTTCGTCCCACAGATTGCACCAACCTTTGGCTTGATTATTACGTCTGCGTCCACGTGCCTGGCGCGGCCACCACCACTCAAGGCACTACCCAGCCGACAACTCCTCCTTCCACCGGCCCGACACCCCAGATGCCCGGCATCGTCTCCAACTGCAAGACATTCTACCAGGTCAAGTCTGGCGACAGCTGCTGGTCCATTTACAGCGGCGCGGGCATCACGTTTGAGCAATTCCTCTCATACAACACACAAGTTGACTCGAGTTGCAGCAATCTGTGGCTGGGTTATTATGTCTGCACTGGCGTGTAAATCTAACGCTTCTGGTTAATGTGAGCCCAGATGTATGTCGGACGTAAAGTCGGCTTTCATCATGTTGGTGTCAGCCCGGCATGGTGTTGCATTCAACTAATTTTCATTTCCCCGAGCATTCAAGTTCTAATTATCTCATCGTTTTCTGTACATAACTTTTGTGCCTCTTAACGCTAGTATTATTTTTCCTCTGTTTACCTTTCCAATACGAAAATATCCTTACAAATGCACGATCACTACAAATCCAGCATGTGGATGAATTACTTGTTCTTCGTCATATTGTTGAGAGTCTGAACCTGACGGGTCGTCATCGGCCAGGGACCCCTTGCCAAGACTGCGATGACGAACTTTTGTTGGATTACAAGGAAGTTGTCTGTAAAAACCATGACTGAGTCGTTCCTTGATGGGGACCAGTCAGTCCCGTCATGCTGTGCCCACTCTCTAATCTGAAGTGCCGGTGACCCACTCCAACCCTCCAGTGACATGCTTGACGAAGTACTCCTCCGAATAAGACTCATTGGTGTGTCCCATACCAGTGTAGAACGCCCTAGCCACACCCTCGTACATGGAGTACCACGAAATTGAGTGCATTGGAGGCATGTGCTGAAGCTCTGGAGATAGCGTAATCTCGTCGATGTAGGTCTCTTCCACCTTTGCGAGGACTTTGTATGCAGAATCATCAGCAGGATTTGTCTTGTACGCATACCACTCGTCCGTCCGGTTGTAGCTCTCCGGAAAACCAGAGGTCGAGGGGTGGTCAAAATCGAGAATTGTGACGGTGTCTGGGCGAATGTTGCCATCTAGAGAGGAAAAACGTTAGAAATTTCTTGTGTATAACTGACAACCGAGCTTTTGATGAACTCACTAGGAGGATATCGCTCTTTTTGCGCGTCGTCACAAATATCGTCAGTCTCACAAGGGTGGGATCGGAACTTCAGCGAGGTCAACAAGGCTGGGCAAGGTGGGAAACCCGACACTGCGTCTTACCTGTGCGCCAACAAGCTTGGTGAACCAGTTGGGCATGTCGTCTCCAAAATCACCGGCTATGTTTCAAAACGTCAGATATGGGTTTAGCGTTGTGAATACATCCATCAACTTGAACTTACCGGCGTGAATGCCTAGCCAAGAGCCACCGTTAAGCAGGAAATCGTTGAGAGCATCCGATTCATTAGTTGACAAATAGTTGCCTGTCGTGGAGATGAAGACCAGAGTGCTATAGGCGGACAGGCTCCCGTTGGTGAAGATGGCAGAGTCTTCTGTCGCCGCGACTGACCAACCCTTCTCATTGGCAATGGAGCTCACGAGCTGGATACCATGAGGGATGCTAAAAGCTCAGATGCCCTGGTTAGACAGAGGAAACAATGATGAGGGAGCAAGATGCATGCCTTGCATGGCGATAGCCAGCCGTCTTGGAGAAAAGGAGGAGGCTAGGAGTTGCAGAGATAGAAGCGTGTACAACATGACTGGCAATAATAGCCGCGGCCGCAAGAAGAGTTGTCAACATAGTTGCAGCTTGAGAAATATCTCGAATGCCTTTTCTGGTATTTGAGAAAGTATGAAGATCGATGCTAGCGTGAGATTGGGTTCAGACCTGCATGATACTAGATATTTATAAGTTTCTTAAAACCTGGTCATCATTCTCAAGACCGCATGCGATCTTGGTGATTTTCCACTTCGAAGCGAAACCGAGGAAAGAACATCACGTTGATACTCCATAGTTGCACACAGTACGCGCATTCTCGTAATGGGATAAGAAATTTTTGGCTTCCGTCGGATACAAGTATGCTTAAGTCCTAATAGGGCTGAATTTGTCGTCCACTTCTGTACTTGTAGGTCTAGAAGCAAGCAGCAGTACATTTGCAATTACTTCGAGATACTTCTTTCTACCTTTACGAAATTTTGAGAGACTCTGTAGTCAGCACCACCTTCCACTTTACGCGTAGGCACATCTAGGATGATGACACTAGGGGAGTCAACTCTAAGCCCTGTAATCGTAGATCAAGGATCATGCTCCTTAGTTTTCGGCCGCGGCACCTGTCTCGTCCTAGGGCATGGAGAACGTATCAAATGTGGCGACACAATGATTCAAAGAGGGAGGCTGAGAGAATGTGTGGATAGAATCTAATTCGTCACGGTGGCCTGTCATGAGTTTACTGCAGGTGGATGGCAGACGGGTATCGGTATCCGAGCTCCATCTGGCATATTGACATGATCAGTTTCCCTTCCGACAGCGGCATCGGACGTTGCCCGGGGAGTCCACCTTGCTCTCAGCGCGGGCTGTCTACACGAAACTTCTCACAGCTTGCCAAGTTCTCGACGGCAGATTTTGCAGGAGTTACGTATGCTAGGTATCAATGGAAATAATGAAGGTACGACAATTTTGGGCGACGAATATCTAGAACAGAGCTCAAGCGTATCTCCGCTAAAACTCCGCCGAGGTTCCGCTAAAGAATATTCCGCCGGTAGGAACCACCAGGACTGAGAAGCAAGATTGATACAGGGATCTGTCAAAAACCAAAAGGGGAGGTAACAACTTTCCATGATCACGCAATGTCGCGCTAAGCTGTCCAATGGGGAAGGTAAATGTACGTGGATAAGAGAGAATGTGGTTCATCCGTATGCAGTACGGTAGATCTTGGCGCTGAGGATGCGTTCCGATTACCGATTGAAGGCCCCGCGGCAATCAATGAATGCCGGTTCTGTGACGCATTTTCCAAGGCTTATTGCCCCATTCGACGGCGGAAGAGCCCTATTTGGCAATGATCTAGATTCTCACGACCTGCCTCATCTGGGCTCATCCCTGTTTACACGCGGCGACGTCCGTAAAGAGTTGTCGAGCACGTGACCAGCTCTATCGTCAGTACAGCGGAAAATACTTTCCGCTGCTCCTGATGAAAATGTAGTCAAGACTAGGTACGGTATCAGATTCATCGCGACTGGCAAAACTTTGCGTTCACGTACATGAGCCAGCAAGAAGCTTCAATGTTGGGTGGTGACGCTCTAACATTTCACTATCAGCGGCAAGTGGTGGACCCGGTGATGAATCCAACTTAAGGAACCTCCGAACTGGTCCACCATCTGTGGGCGGAATCATTCCATCAAATATATTCGTCGTGGTTGAGCTACAAGGTTATCGTTGTCAATTTCTGAATCAAATTCGCTAAGTAGTTGGATATACATTGTACGAAGCTCTCGAGGTTCGAAATTGTTCAGTTACAAGACCCTGTATGTCTTCATGCTTCCTCTACATGACTATTCCTTCGAGTGCTCAGTCGCGTCATTTTCTAAGCAGATACGCGTGTGTATGAGAATGGTAGTGAACTACGTGCTGACCCGACTCTATGTCCCTTTCATCCTCGAAAAAAGATAGTTATGTTAGGAGCAAGGGTAGTGAAAATCAGGAAACCTCTGTACTGACGCCATTTGGTACTCGGCGGGATAGTAGATCCATCTTGTTATTCCACGCATAGTCTAGATATCTGTGAGCCTAATCGCTGGCATCAGGTTCAGCACTTGTTCTGAGTCTTCACATGTTACGTTTCGTCCTTGATGCAGGACTAGACCTGAATTTCATGGCAATTATGTCATATCAATTCATGGCAGCGTATCAAGCCTCAGTCCAGCCTGAAGTCACCATCTTGCCCAGCTGCTGTAGCGCAAGTCAATCTCCAGAAAGACTAGCATCGAGGGCAAATCCGAGCTGAGCCTTGGCCGCATATCGACAACGCCAATTGGACCATTACGTTCCGTGTCAGCTGCATCATGCAGTCGGCAGGAATACGCTTGATTTCGTTGCTTACCTAGGCGGGGTAAGTTTTGTTTCTTGACCTATACATACTAATAAGTTATTTCACAAAACCTCTCAGGCTACTTCACAATCATTCTTCGCATAATCAGTCGATAGTTTAGTTGGCGATACGGTCAACATAACTAACCTTACGTTTCTAACCCTCAACTCGAACATGCTCCACACGACAATCCTTCAGTGCTTTCCGGCCTTGGCACTTATTCCCAACGCTCTCCCTACTTGGCCACCGCAGGCTCCAGTCAATGCAACCTGCAATGTTTAGGGCAGCATCAATCCTTCATATAGGTACTATAGTCTCGAATCAAACTTCGAAAACGCATACGAATGCTGGAAAGTATGCACTGACGGGCGCTAGCCACCTCGATGCCAGTATTTCTCATATAAGTCAGCCGCCAAAGAATGCAAGCTATTTGATGTCCCTGTAGAAGACGGTGTGAATGAAGAGGATGGTACGGGTGTACTCTTATACAATAGAAACTGCTTTGTATACACCCCACGGCTTGGAGTGAACAACAAATACTAGATCGACTGAATACACTGAGTGATCATTTTTTTCAAAGCCGATAATCTAAGACGCTATCTCGATCAGCAGTTTCCGAGTCAATTGCTTTGTCTATAAACTTTGGCTCAAGATCGTCAACTCAGTCTACGACAGATAGCTCCAAGAGATTTCACTAGTGTTACTCTCAAAACCATCTGTTCTGCGTGTCGGTGCTTACTGAAGCCATCTTTCGCCAAGCTCCAATTTCTTTCCATCTATCGTAACTTCGGAGGGCTTTGCGTCGACTACCATGCCGATCATGCGAACCCACTCGTTGGTTCTGTTTGCCCAGCTATTACAAATCATACGCATTAGCTCTGGTATTCAAGAATAGCCTGTTTTCTTTCCTTCTTATCAACGAGACATGAAAACATACGCGTGCATTGCCCCCCGTTGAACGGCAACATCTCCTGGTCGAAGCAGGCTTTCGACAGTTTCTTCGTAGTCAGCTTTGCCATCATTGGCGCTGAAAGCAGTCTTCGGCGTGATCAGGATAGGCGTCCCCTGGTTGACAGCAACATAGTCGACTGATGGGGTTCGATGCTGGAACAATTGAGTCAGCCTCTGGGGTTGAATTGAGCCAGGACAGACGTCAATGATTTCGAATCATGTGCTACAATTCCCGATTAGAAGAACACCAACTCACCATCGGGGTAGTGTATCCAGGGGCCAAGTCCAAGAAGTAAATGTTCACTCCACCTGGCAAGACTATCCCACTTCCAGGGACGTCAGGAAGGACCGGCAGGCCACTTTGAAAAGTCAGTATCTGATCCTTCAGCTTGAGAGACCGAGTAATGCTCACCATCCTTCGTTGCTTGCAGGGACAGCCGAGACAGTCCCGATCTTGGTTCTCTGCAGAAGGCCATCGAACATGTCTTCTGTCACCAAAGTAGCGGTGACTACCTCTACTCCAGGTTCAGTCTTGTCGTTGCCATTGTCTGAGTCGAGATCGAGATTAGATATCACGATGCGTCGGCGAGGGGACGAATCAGCCATGATGTTATTGCTATCAGAGATTTGAATTCTGTGGTATATCAATATTTCAGAGACGGGATGCTTAGGCGACTTGGCGAGTCCAGAATATAATGTCAATTGATGTTGAAGCTCCAATGCTATCTGGATTTCACAAATGGGCATCTGACAGACCAAGCCTTATGTATTCAAGCCAACTTAGTAGACTCCAAACATCGGCCGTGAGGTCCCGGAGTTACATTCATCATTTCGGCGCCGAGGAAATAAGGGCATTAGTCACGGGGCCGGTAATGTGGGGCCGGAGGATCAACCTTAAGACTCCTACTCGTGCTTACTATGGGCTTGTCACCATTCCTCAAAACTGCAGTGGGGCTGACGTTCGCTCCCGGCCCCGAAAGCCGCGCTTTCTTCATATCTGATTAGTAAGGATGGAAGCATGCGAAGCAAGGCAAACAGACAAGCTAGAACAAAGCCGGCAGTGCGAATTTCATCATTCTTTCCCCTTCAGCGGATCCATCCCACACAATATTAGGTGTAATCGCATTTCGCTCAGTCCGCCTCAAATGTCTAAAACACTTATGAAAATATCAAGTCATCATAGCGAAACATATCTTGCTCCTTCGTGTGGAAGATGAAGTCAGGCTGCTTCAAACACGTGATTCACAACGCGCTTAGCTGAAGGAGGTCACGTACTGGAATCAGAGCAATTTTGGCCTGATTGTTGTCACAACGCGGAATATTTGCAAGAGAGGGATACTTAGGTAAATATAGACGCACGCATGTCGCAACAGCGATGTGCCCTTCCGAAGTAAGCGATTTCCGATTCTTCAGTGGTGCAGGCCTCACAACGTGAATCTCAGTTCTTCCTTCTCACACTCTTGCAGCTCTATACTGTACCCACGCAGCCTAAGCCAAACTGAATATCTGAAGTAAGTCTATATTTACTGATAAATTTTGGAGGAATATACTATGTGACATTTGAACTCTCCATCATGTCCACCAGTCTTCACTAAGTGCTTCTCAAAAGTCTGCTGCACAGACTTGAGAATGCAAGAACTCGAGCCAGAGGTAATCTTGGAAATCCAGGCAGGAACAATGGATAGGTCTTCTTGGTTGTTTGAAATCATATCATAAGATCTATCCAGGTTGACCTGATACTTGCACACCCTGAGAACTTATGAAAGAGGGCCCGGGAAGTGGGAGGCCCTAAAGGCCGGTTGGTCACCTTACCCACTGGTGGAAACCACAACTGCAGGCAAGCAATATGAGGTGGACCCCGAACAGCCTGTTCCAACCCGACTGTTCGAGTTGTTTTTGAAGCTTCAGAACGTAGCATTCAGGCGTCGGTAAGACAGTGGCTGTTTCGACTAGAAGTTAGATTGATCGTGTGGAGACGTGGAGAAGGCTTGCTGCGACTATGGCCTGAGTTTGCCCTTGGAGAGCTTTCCCATCCTCTCTCAAGGAAAGTCCATCTGCAATAGTGAGTTGTCGATGACCATATCTTCAGTATCTCGTTTCTTTGTATTTCGAGAAATCTGCGGCTTCTCACCAAGAAGAAACAGCCACTTCAGGCATGTAGTCAAGCCTTCTAATCCCGAACATAGGCAAGTATGGATTGGCATGTCTTAAAGTTGCCTTCCTGAATAGGTCATGATTTAGACCTTTCTGCGCAGGCAGAGTTCGAAAAACAGCAAAGATTGAATGGAAAGGGGTTACAATTATCTATCATTGCCCCTCAGACTCAATAGACTTTTACTCAAGCTTCTGTCACGGGCAGAAACCCCCCGAGTCCGCAGAAACCTTCGTGATGGTTGTTGCTACCAAGGAGAGTTTCAAATAACTCGAGTCGAGTCATTTTAAGAAACTTCGGAGATTTCATGCTACATCTAACCAAGAAGAAAGCTATTTTCTCCACTCTAGTCATCAAATAACAAAGTCTTTCTGTCATTCAACAGTCGAGCCAACTTTTAGCATGGCGTTCAACTGCATGGAAAAGTCAGACATGCTTTCCGCGGTATAAGGTAGCACGCAACGCCTGCAAACACATGGTGAATTGATGGACTGAAGATAGAAATTGGTATAGAGCAAGTAACCAGACATGAGTAA